GATTGTTGTTTATAAGACTATTTGATTTTTCATTATTTCTCAGATATTCTATTTTCTGGGTCTTTTAGAAAATTAGTATTTAGAACTTGTTAACAAAAACTGCCTGTTACGTGTTGAAAATTTTTGAGTTTATTACATGATTTTGTTTAAATAAACCTTAAACTATTCATAGAATTTCAGAGCTAGATAGAATCTTATGCAATTATTAATTCCACCCTCCTTTGTATTATATATGGACTGTAAAATACATTTTTTTGTTGCCTTGGAGCAGAACATGTTTAATTTTGTTTTCCATGTAAAATACAGTGAAATTCTGAAATAACAGATTTAGATCATATGAACTTGGAAATAATGGATTGATGATTAATTACCCACCTTCCTTTATCTAGCTCCTTTCTCAAATTGGAGTGAGCTAAAGTTCATATCTTCTGGAAGGGTAGTGCTTCATAATCATTTGAGCGGTTCAGTACATTGTCAGTTATGCACAGTGTCAGCTTACTAACTTTACTTTGGTGCCGTTTGTAACAGTATAAACCAAGTCAAAATTATTGATTTTCATTAACTTAATATAATAAGCCCCTAAATTTTATGTGATTGAATTTTAGACTCCATTTTATTATGATATAAAAATATTTTGTTATGTTATATAATTTTATGTAACTTATTTTCTAGGTTGAGCAGTTAGTTAGTAAAACATCTGAACTTGATGTGTCTGAAAGCAAAACAAGAAGTGGAAAAGTCTTTCAGAATAAAATGGTAAATGCCTTTTTCGGTTTTAGGTTTGTTTTCCATTCTAACCTTGTAATTTCCCCCCACATATGAGTTTATTTTACTATTTCATTTATTGGAATATTTTTAATATGTACCTATTATATGGCAGGTACTTTACTAGATGCAGAGGATATAACCTAGTTAACACATAGTTCCTAATTTTAGCTGAAAGTTTGGTAATTGGAAGCAAACAAGAAATGATATAGGACTATCATAGAAATCTTAATAGAATACATAGAAGCACAAAGGAAAGAATAGTTAATTTTACTGAATGTACATTAGAGAGGAGAATCCAAGAAAAACTTTGAGAGTGATACTCTTGTTCAGAATCTCCCAAGGGAATTTCGTAAACTATCAGAACATTCCCATGTTCTGTCTTATAAATTGATTGTATTTTTAATGACATACAAATTAATATTTTACATACATAAAAGATTAACATATATATATATGTCTTATACTAAATGAATGTCATGTTCTTAAGCAAAAACAAAATCAGTTTTAGTTTTGTGTATGAATTATACTAAACAGGAATTTACATTTGAACTGGGTACTGTGGTCATGTTTAAACTCTTTTACTCAGGAGGCTGAGGCAGTTGTGAGTTTGAGACCAGCCTAGGCAACTTAGTAAGACCCTCATCTTGAAATGCGTATGTGAATGTACATACCTTTAAGTTACTCTCAAGGTTAAGGGTAAAGAAAAAGCTTTTTTTTTTTAAAGATAGGAGGAAGAGAGAGAGAGAGAGAGAGAGAATTTTGTAATATTTATATTTCAGTTTTCGGTGGACACAACATCTTTATTTTATTTGTATGTGGTGCTGAGGGTCGAACCCAGCGCCTCGCACATGCCAGGCGAGCGC